GGCCCAAACCTGGACCAGTGATGATGACTGATGGCGTATGAGTCATATACGATGAATGCTACGTGTCTGGAAGTCTGAGGTCCAAAACAAAACAACATCTCGTCTGTTTGTTTACTCCCTTGCAAATGATCTTGTGGATCGGTGTTGGGAATATGCAAGGAGATTGCTTTTATAATTTTAAACTCATGGATTTCTATATTATTAATATAAATGGATCAATAATAGAACAAATAAATATGTGAATACATTAAAAAGAGCATGAAGACTTACCAACTATGAATATATGTGGTGAGGCAAGAAATATAAATTGATGAAATATAAATATAAATTGATTTTAAGAAATACATAGACCCAAGGACGTTACCTCTTTTTCTAAGGATCATATAGACACTGATACTTACAAATAATATTCGATTTTTATAAGCCTGTGTCAGTTTCGAGTTGAGGATGTTAACCTTGTAATATATTACATATATTTATATTTTCATATGTATATATGTTCTGAAAAATTAATAAATACCTAAATAGCTGGAAAAATGAAATGAGGAAGGCAATGACTGATGGAGAAAATGTTTTAATTTTTAATTATCTGCTCTGTCTTGTACCCAGAATCGACACACTCAGGCTGATTTAAGTATTTTCCATGGTAACAAGATCTATGTGTGTTAAGCATAGAGATGAATTGTGAGTAAAGGTTAAAGTTCTTCTATTTGTTTAAGAAATGTTTTTAAAGGGTATTCGCTGCATTGTTAAAAGTGTGAAATGTAATAGAAAACACCAACCATGGAAAATGATAACTATGGGATATTATGAAGCAGTATATTTACTAATGCATATAGGAAATATTGATGACAATTAATAAAAGAGAGATAACAATGTAGCAGATGATCCTATCGGCAGATGTGGAATATTCGTTGCTCTTCTTCTTGTGGTTTTGTGAATCATAGGGTTTAAAAAATTAACTTTAATAAATGAAGACATTAATGCATTAGTGTGTATGAGAATGAAGAGAAAGAGGCTGAGGTGTGGAGCAATGATGACAGTTGGAGGAGTATGAGTCACAGATGATGAATAGCACATGTCTGAAACTCTGAGGTCCAATAAAAAGCGAAATATCCTCCAGTGCCTCTGTTTGAAGTGATCCTATAGATAGATGCTAGGAAAGAAAGAGAGCCTTCATTTTTTTTCTTGGTTTGTTTTCATGAAGTTAGATTCTACTGTAATAAATGACTCAAAAAAGAATCAAGGTACAAGTATAAATAAGTTAAGATGAAGAGGGTGACTGACACATGTCCACTCAATATATGTGGTGAGACAATACAAATTAACATTTATTGAAAATACTTAAGTTCATTAAGAAATGTAAATGGTTCACGCGTCTTGCCTCTTTGGCTAAGAATGATACAGACAATGAATAGCAGTCGAAGCTCTTGTTCTTGGTCGGTGTTGAGTTTGATATTGTTTGGTTTGTTAAGAGAAAATGAAGAAATAGGACCACCATGTATTATATCCCTAAGTGACTGTGTAAATGAAAGGTGAAATCATGCATCCACAGAGTGTCTGAATCTTATCATCTGCTCTGCTGTGTCTTCCCCAGGATGGACACACCTGAGCCCATTAAGCCATGGTCATCCTTGTGCGTAAGCGCATGTGAGTAATAGTCAAATTCTTCTCTTGGTTTGCATTGCTTGTTTAGAGTATTCACTGTACTATTGAAAATAGTATTAAATATATTCAAAGAAGACTAGCCATGCCTCAAGCATAATATGAAACTGACATGAAACTTGATGTTGTTGAGTAGATATTTGCATCAGTGAAGCTGTTTAATGAGAGGCATATTCATTAAGGCAAATGGCACTATAAATAGATATTAGAGCTATGAAGAACCTTGTCCTTGAGTATGTATGGCTTCGTAGATAGTTGTTTTATTAATGAGTTGATGAATTGATCAGTAAGCAGATGTAGATGAGAATGAAGAAGAGATCCCCAAGCCTGGACAGGTGACTGTGACTGATGGTGTATGAGTGGCGATGTGTCTGGAAGTCTGAGGTCCACCACAAAGAAACCCAGTCCATTCCCTGTGTTTGAAATTCTCTGTTGTCCTACAGAGAGACTTCAGGAATGTACAAGACTCTTGTTCTTGGCCTTTGTGTTCATAAATTCTATAAAATATTATTAAAGACTAAATGACAGAATAAATAAATAAAGATGAAGAGGGTGAAGTATTGTTTATTGTTAAAATATACCATAAAGAAAAATAATACTAATGTAAATTGAAATCAATATTAAATGAATCAAGTATATTACATCTTTAACTAAGGATGACATATAAAACTATAAGTAAGAGTTACTGCTCTGAATCAGTTACAACTCTGATATTTAATTTATTAAGAGAAAAATATTACCATTAATCAATAGCTAAATGGCTGTGTATATGAATGGCGAAAACAGTGGATCAATGGAGAGAATGTCTCAATCTTTTTATTGTCTCCTCTGCTTGGTGCTATTTAGAACAGATGCTTCAAACTGATTTCAGCTTCTGCTGTGACCCAGTCATCATGTAGTCTCTTGTGTCAGGAAAGAAACCAAGGTGAGTAATGGGCAAAGTTCTTGTCTTGGTTTGGTTCATTTGTTTAAAGGTATTCATGGTATTCATAAAAGGTATTAAGTATAATAAAAAAGTTAGCTCTGTCCAAACATAAATATAATATGAAATACCATGTTGTTTAATCAATGTTAAAATAGATTAATCAAAGAGATATAGCCTATATGGGAAATAGACTATGTTAGGGATATTAAAATATTTTGTTATTGGGTTTTGTGAATCATTGATTCATTATATTATCTGTGAATTATTTATGAATTAATGATTTATTCAATGTAAATGTAGAATGAGTGAGGAAAAAGAGACGAAGACATGGACCAATGGTGCGACTGGTGGTGTATGAGTTATGAACGATGAATACTATGTGTCTGGAACTCTGAGGTCCAAAACAAAGATAAAAAATGGAATTCTTCTGTTAGAAATGATACTATAGACAGAAGTCAGAAATATACAAAAATTATATTCCTTTTTGGGTTCACAGATTTAGATTTTAGTACTACTATTGGATCATTGATAGAACAATTAAACAAAAAAATAAAGAGGAAAAATGTTAAGTATTATCTAACTATGAACATATGTGGTGAGGGAAGAAACATTACTAATAAAATTTGAGGGAAACAGTGATGCCTCCTAAGAAATAAATGAATCAAGGGTGTTAACTCTTTTTTTTTTCAGGTTTTAAAATTTTTATTTTATTTTATCATTATTATTATTATTTTTTT